ATGAATGAATGATAAAATTAGATTTCTGGCAGTTTTCTTTGAGACAAAAAGAAGCTGGATAAGGGGGGAGGTGAAATGGCAAAAATCATTTGAATGGAAGGAATCTATTTGCCAAATTTTGATTATGCTAGGGCAGTGATGGCAAACCTATGACATGCCATGATGTTTTGGGTGATACACCAGCATTCACCAACACCCAACAACAACTATTCTCCCCGTTCGAGCTACCAAAAAAACTGGGTTTGTTTTACTCAGATTTCATTTTTGTAATTATTTGATGTTTCTTTATATAATACACAGCACCACACATGATTGGACTGTATTTTTTTTTAAACAAATGACTATGTAAAGAATTGTTTCTCTTTTGTTTGGGGGGGGGGGGTGACATGCCAGCAGAGTCAAGTTAGGCATTTTCCAAATTTTTGACACACCTAGCCCAAAGGGTTCACCATCACTGTGCTAGGGTATGCTTACCGATGCGGTGAAGCCAAATAAGTTTGAAAAATGCTTTAAGAAATCCCTTGTCCAAATTTGGAGTTAATGCCCAATCAACTGTACTCTTACCACTGTACAGCATTATTCTGGAGGGAGACAGAAACAGCAGCCACTATCTAGCAGCCAACCAAAAGAGCAGCTCAGTTCTCATTTTGTAGCCGTAGGAGTTAAATGAAGTTCCAAGACAAGATAAACATTTAAGGAAATTGTTAATGTGTACTTAAATGTTGCTGGAACACTGTGAGTCTCTTCATCCCTTGTCTCTTTCCAAAGTCAGTGAAAGGCTTTCCAGAGGAGGGTAATTTTCACAAAAGAGGCTGTTTGGTTAAGCCTTCCAATGAACCAGCCTTGGCAGTTCAGATGATGTCATGGAGCGTTAAGGAGGGGAAGGCTAATTTCATCTCCAGATATCATGACTTTCTCAATGCAGGAGCTGGGAGTTATATATTTCCACTTATATCTGCACATAAAAAAATACTTTTTCCCTGCACCTGCAGATGAGAAGTTGTCTTCCCTTTGCTACCTACTAGACAGGAAGTGGTTTGAGTGTGCTCCAGGTGGTGACGTTGCACCAACAAATGTGGCTCGTACCAGCTTCCACTGCACCACTTTTCTCAAAGGGAAAGGCATAGGTTGACTAAATGGAGCCACACTGGAAGGTGCTCCAGGTAGAAGCCTGGCCAGCCTGCCCTGTCCTTTTGTAGAGCATCTTCTTGGCTTAACAGAACTTCCAGCTGTAGAGTTTCCCTCCAAGAGACAAAAAGGCAGCCTTCTTCAACCTGCTGCCTTCCAGAGATATTAAACTCCTACTCCCAGAATTCCACCATAGCCAGTCTTTGATGTGTTCTATCTCAACAGTGTACCTTTTGTTTTTGTTTTTATTTTTTAGGATCATCTGCTTAAAAATATGGCAATTAACCGGTGTTTGTCTGCAAGAGGTGAACATCCATCCATGGCTCCCTGCAACACTGCAGATGCCCATCAAATTTGGTACTTCAGCTAAGCAGTCCAAGAAAGACCAAAGCAGCTCTGGAAAACATCTCCTGTCAAAGTTCCCATTCTTCTGAGCTCACTTTCCAGCAACAGAGGGTACATTCACGGAGAAGAGAGGGGGACCAATTTGCTGTATAACCCAACATTTGCCTGTAACACTCTTGTGCCTTTTATAATAGGAAGGTCAAAACAGCCAACCTTGGTATATCTGTTCATTTGGGCTTTCTTGATAAAAAAAAGTAAAGGCTGGTATGTTTGCTCTTTAGAATACCAGGTATATTGTCCATCAAAGCTCCACGCTATGAGGCAGACAATACTGGTGATGTTTATTTGGCTGTAGAGGAAAAGTGGCCATTGGCCAGATGTGAAATCAAACATTTCCCTAATTTGTATGTTGTGAGCATTGTAGGAAGTAGTGCTTCGAGGCTCTGTCCTAAGGGATAAATTGTCTGTCTGTGGTATAGTTTAGAGAATAATTGGATGCCAAAGATAATGACTTTAATCTGTTACATAGGAAATGCAACTTCTGACAATACTGAGCATTGGAAGGAGAAATTACTCCATAATTCTAATGCTTTCTCAACTGTCTTAAAGGTCTTTGCACTGACATGCAGGTGAGTAGCAGGTGAACTTTTGCTTCCAAAGACTCAGTGCAGCCACCTGCGATTAAAGAAGTAAATGCTGGCCTGCAGTATTGTTGTGCGACTGAAATCCTAGCCCTTTGCACAGGCTGTGGCCAGTGCTTTACCTCAAGCTTTGGAACTTTCGCCAGCACACTGCAGATAGCACTGACGATTCGGTGGGAGAAGAAAAACCTGTGTCTTCTAGCTGATCAGCCCTCTCCCGGCAGATTGAAGGGAAGGGATGGAGTAAGTTTGTTGGCACCTCCTTATGACCCCTGTGTCTGGACTTGACATGCCTTTTAGCCCTCCTAACCCCTGCAGTCTAGGCATTGAGAAGGCTGCAACCTGGTTCCACTCTCCACCGGTCTGCATGACTCAACAGGGCTGGCTTTCCTAGACTGCACGGTGTAACATCCTGCAGTGGGGGCAGGGGTGTGGCTTACTTCAGACACATCCATAGCCTTACTTGTACACTGCAATGCCAGGAATCAGGAAAGCTGCTAATGTGCCTTTAAAGAAAACAAAACAAAACACAACACTAGCAGAGGAAGAAGCTGTATCTCATGAGAAACCAGCTGCCAAACTAATTGCTAACTCACATCAGTGGATGGGAGTTAAAGCAATGCAGAAAACCAAATTGTGTGCGTGTATATTTGTGTTTGCATTATGTTGACAAGAATACCCACCAGGAAAGCAAAAAGAGTAAAGGGATAATGTTTATTGCTAATTACAATGATCTGCTAGACCAAAAACTTGCCCTTATTGTTTGTTTGGAATGTTTCTAAGAAAATATTCGGTTTCCTGGATTTCCTTGGATAAGGGGGCAGGGGGGAGAGAGTCCTCTCTTTCTGTAACAAGATCGTCAGCTCTTGTTGTAACAGCAACTTTCTCATAACAGACAATGTTGGTAATTCTTGTAACCTGTAAATAATCAGCATTTTCACTGTCAATGGAATGCATAAGTCCAAAGGGAAAAATAGATTCTGGACTTTTGTAAGTACTGCGTATTTTATGAGCACACCACACTTTTTAATACGGATTGGATGACAATACGGATCAAAATCTATCTGTGCGTGATTCCATCTTTCCCTTTTTAAAGGACAAGGTTGGTTTCTATACAATTTTTACCATTTCTGAAGAATGATGACGTGGTGAAAGAACTTAGATTTTGAATGCAGAAGCTAGCATTAGAAGTTTTGGTTCATTTGCAGGAAAATTTTCAGTTGGAACAAAGTCTTGCTCTGGTAATCCTGACTGGAAACAATAAAGCTTATAATTGTATTTTATGAGGAAATCATTTCTGTTTTGGGTTCATTTTCTTTCCACTAATTACTCTACATTTCTTTATAATTAATGTTGGAGCGTGCTTCTCCCCAGCCCCATTCTTCAGTGACGCAATATTTCATTGAAAGGGGATTGTCAATCATAGAAGCTATGTAAAAGATTGGCTATTGTTTGGAACAGGTGTTAAACCAGCATTTGCTGGAAGAAATCCAACCCTTCTGTAAATCCCACCCAACTTCTTTCACTTTGCCTCCCCCCTATTATTGTTCCACTGAATCCCCGAGTGCAATGTGCTGGCAGGCCAACAAACATTCTGCTCGCCTCCCATTAAAACTTCAGGAACACACAGTGGGTGGAAGCACCTAACCAACCTTGGCTGAAATCAGAAAAGCTAAGTGGAGTCAGACCTGGCCTATACTTGAATGGGAGATCATGGGGAAATCCCAAGACTGTAGACTCTGCCAGCAAATCAGAAAAAGGTAATAAAAGAAGGCAATGCAAAGCACTTCCGTTCTGCTGCCAAGGAAACTACATGGACTTCTCCATGGAGTCTAGTCAAACTCAGTTTGAGGGATTAGTCGTCTTTACCTAGTGAATATAGAAGAAATATATAGCAACAAAAAACGCCTGTCACTTTAAAACATGCCACCTTTACTTTTTAAGTACTGGATGCCAGTTAGCAGAACCTGGGCCAATTTTACGGGATTTTGCCAAATTTTATTTGAGCTATGAATGATTGTTTGTTTCAATTTTAAATATTAGGGGAAAGCACAAGTTGTAATTTCCATATTTTTGTCTTTTTGCATACTGAATATTTTACCAGGAAACTGGGCAATAAAAGTTCCAATTTTGTTAGGAAGGCTAGAAATGAACCAGTTACAAAAGGATAATTTTTGCATTAATATCTACTCCCAGATCCTGGCTACGTCAATTACCTTGAGAATGCAGATATTGCCCATCTTCCATCCCCTTTTGCAAACTATTTTTGGAGAGGCCTTTTTATTCAAAAAGAGGGCTAAGATAGAGTAATGTTCAGGATTAACATCTGTAATGAAATAGACTTTCTCCCATTCTCTCAATTATTTTGTAAGATAGTTGAACTGGGCAGGGGTTTTAAACACCCAACTAATAACCTGCCGTCATCCTGGGAATCAGAAAACCTCAAGAACATAGGACAGATGTACCTTCTGAAAGCAAGATAGCAAACTAAGAATGACCTGTCATCCAATGGAAGGCAGTCTGCCTTCTTCCAGAGTTCAGCAGGTGCAGCCAAGTGGCTTGGACAAGTGGGGAGAGCAAGATCTCAGGATAGTCAAGTAGATCCTCAATCATCTCCAGTCAAGTTTCCACAGGAAAGCACAAGTGGTGTCTTTCACGTGCCAATATCTGGAAATGTAAGAACATATTATACCAGAGGGTTTGGATGAGGAACCCCTGGTTGTTGAACATAATTCCCTGCCGCCATATCCATCATAATCAAAGGTAAAGAATAATGGAAGAGGTCACAGGTTCTCCAGTCCCGCCAGAGTAGATTTTGGCCACAAGACTGGTGAACTGCCTTACATCAAATAATTTATTGACTAAAATTTGAGAAAGATGGGAGATAGATGGCTGTCTTGGTAAGGAAAACTACTACTTTAAAGAGGATAAACATACTATAAGCAAGGTGCACCCCAGCACCACGTCTAGTATAAATGCTAATCTAGAATTAAGTCAAAACAATATATCTACCTTAAACAAGTGATTCTCAAAATGGTCAGCTGAAGCCTCCCCATCTTCACTGGGCACAATCTGTTCATCATCTCAGCCCTTTTCCCCTTGTGTGCCAACAGTCAGCTGACAAGAGGCAACCCGTTGCCTCAGCATATGCTGGATCTTGAGTTGGCTGCAGGACAGGTGAGATAAAAATTGAATGGTGCTCCAAGTATGTGCAATGCAAGCTCTGCCTTAAGCATTTTAGTGTATTTTTATATTGTGTTCAGAACAATAAAGTTACCCATGCAATTATATAGGACTTGTCCAGTAAGATTAGATGGAGCCAGCAAGGTCATAGACTGGGCCTTTCAGGTCTTCCAATAATGTACCCATTGGCTCATGTCCTTTCCTTCTCTTTCCCTCCACCTTTCCTACACACACACACACTGCATTCGGAAAGTATTCAGACCCCCTTCACTTTTTTCAATTTTGTTATGTTGCAGCCCAATACTACAATCGTTCAAATTCATTTTTTTCTCATTAATCTACACTCAGTACCCCATAATGACAAAGTGAAAACAGAATTTTAGAAATCCCTGGAAATTTATGAAAGGAAAAACTGAAATATCACATTGGCATAAGTATTCAGACCCTTTGCAACAACACTTGAAATTGAGCTCAGGTGCCTCCCATTTCTCTTGATCGTTGCTGAGGTCTTTCTACACCTTGATTGGAGTCCACCTGTGGTAAATTCAATTGATTGGATGTGATTTGGAAAGGCTCACACCTCTCTATAGAAGGCCCACAGCTGACAATGCATACTGTATCAGAGCAAAGGCCATGAGGTCAAAGGAACTGCCTGCAGAGGTCAGAGACAGGATCTGACACACAAGACACACATCTGGGGAAGGCTGCAAAAAAATTATGCTGTACTGAAGGTTCCCAAGAGCACAGTGGCCTCCATAATCCTCAAATGGAAGAAGTTTGGCACAACCAGGACTCTTCCAGAGCTGGTTGCCTGGCCAACCTGAGCAATCGGGGGGAGAAGAGCCTCAGTAAGAGAGGTGACCAAGAACCCGATGGTCACTCTGACTGAGCTCCAAAGATCCTATGTGGAGATGGGACAAAGTCCCAGAAGGACAACCATCATTGCAGCCCTCCACCAATCTGGCCTCTATGGCAGAGCGGCTACACGGAAGCCTCTCCTCAGTGCAGAACACATGAAAGCCCG